CAGGTCTCTAAATCCAAGACCTGAGCTCTGAAGAGATGCCAAAGGGAGCAGGAATGCTGTTTGCCCTTACCTCCAACCCTGAGGGTCAAAGACATACCTACCAAGTCCCAAAGCACGTTTCTCTTGATGGAATTTCCCCATGGTTAAAACTGTTTTTGTTTCTATCTTGTGCTGCAATTAGAGGACCTTTATGCCTGAAACACTCAAAGACACTCCGTTAATTAGGCCTACGCTTCCTGTTTTGCCAGCCCCCGGGGGTGTACCCTGCTCTGGGCTGTCTCACTGCAGACCTTCCTGAGCCAGACCTCAGCCTCCTCTCCTCCCCTCACCTCTGCTTCCCCAAATGAAAAAGCTCTGTCAGGACAGCAGCCACTGGCGCTGAACCCAAGTCACTCTGCTGGCTCCGGATACAGTAGCAGCAAGAGAGGTGCATCCAACCACTTCTTCCAGCAGATAGCTTGAGTAAACAGTACGTGCTGGGCTGGGAGAGAAAGCTGCGTTCATCCCAGTCCCTGCCTGCATGGAGCTCACAGAGCAGGCAGAAGGGACCCTCACTATATGAAGGGATGTGGTAAGAGGTCAGGAGGAAAGGTGAGGCACCTATCAGATGTTTGGCTCAAGCCACCCTCAGAGGGACAAGAAGGAAGGACAGACACACAAGAGGTGAGCAAAGGGAGCAGACATGGGCAGAAGGCAAGGAGGAAGTGGGAGACCCTGGCAGAGGAGCCAGAGGTATGAAGCTCGTGGCTCAGTGGTACCAGGGAGGTGGGCAGAGGCGAGATCATGGAGGCCTCGGGAGCAGGTGAGATAGAAACTCAGAACTTTATCCTATGAGCATTGAGGCACCATAGAAGAATCCTAGTCCCTGGAGGTAGGCCCCAGCTCCACACTAGTTCAGGACTTAGAGGCATACAGGGGAATATAAAAGCTCAGTCTCCAGCTTCCAGCAGCTCATCGACAAGCACATCACAGGGACTGTGCTGGGTAACACAACCAAGGCTACGTGGCAAGTGCTCAAGGCACACGGATGCTAAGATTTGAGGAGAGCAGGAATTTAGTTCCTGGGTACCCACTCCATGTCAGGCCTGATCATCTAACACCTGGCTTCTCATTTTGTATTCAAGGTGACCAATAGGGCATCTGTTTCCACCCTCTTTTTACAGATGAAAAGACCAAGGTTTACGGAGTTTGACCTCACAGAGTGCTATGATTGGGGAGGGAAAGTACCAGGGCAGGAGTTCAGCCAGTGGCCTTTCTGCTACCCCATGTAACTTTCCCCAAGTGTGAACCAGGGGCTATGGGGACAGCTTCATGGAGGAGGGAAGGATTGCAGCTGGAATGTTCTTCTGTTTCCCCAGAGTCATCTCCCAGGCTGTGCAGGGCAGGCTAAGAGGCTGGCATGTAGGCATTAGTGGGGTGACCGGGGATTGGGATATACAGTGTCTCTGAGTTTATCCATTGGAACTGTTGAGTTGAGTCTCATGCCTGCTCCATGAGGGGACAGCAGCGGTGCAAAGAATAGTAGCAGTGAGGGAAGGATATAATCTTAGTCCTTTCCAAATTCAGGGATGCTATGCTGCCTGCATACCAGTGCTAGGGGACAGTCTGCCTTGGGAATCTCTAACCAGAGTCAGGAATTTCACACAGTGGGGATGTTGTGATTTGAATTAGAAATGGATAACTGACATAGGGCAGGGGCCAAGTTGTGCAAGGGCTTGGGTGAGCCAGGCCCGCCAAGGTCAGAACAAGTGGCATACCCTCTCGAGTACCACAGGTGACTCGGGACCCCTGAAACCCAGACCTAAATGGATCTCTAAGCAAGCCCACCATAGAACTGGAGGTCTAGGAAGGGTATACCTAGTCACATTGACCAAGCCTAGTTCACTCATGCTCACTCAATAACTTGTGAAATTTGGGCACTGGAAACCAGTTTCTATCTAATGGACACTAATGGCTAAAGTCTGAAGCAGAAACAATCAAGAAAACAGGGAAAGCCAATGCCAGAGAGCTTATGGATTTTCAAGAATCTTCATATACATGCTATCCTTGAGCAAAGCGTACCAGGAAAGAGGGGTTCCTGCCCTAGAGAATTCCAGAGACCTGCTTTTCACGGCCCATCCTTAAGGATGGTACTAGTGGACTTTCCCTTCTGCCCATTCCTTGTCTGTCTTCTCCACCCTGCTGCCACCCCCTCCTATCCCCTCTGCTCCAGCCCCAGTGTGTGTGCCCCTTTGTTGCCTTTGGGATGACACCTGGTGCTTCTGGAGTTGCTGCCGTACCTCCCCACAGCATCCCTGCCTCTGGACTCACTTCACCCAACACAGCTAATCCACCCCTCCTTCCATAGAGAGCTTCAGAAAAGACCTTAAAACTCCCTTTCCTGAGCCACCACCCTCCTACTGTAGCATGCATTGCTGCGGGGATGCTTTGTGGTTCTTCTCTGAAGTCTCACTCAGCACAGGGCCTCCTGTCCCAGGCCAGTCATCCTGCCACAGGCCACTAAGCCATTCCTGAGCTTTTCCCATCTCAAGGGTCAACATGATGTCCTGCAGCTGCAAGTCCTGCTTCTGGGAGTCCTTTGGGTTTTCTGTCACCCTGCTTCCTCTTTCCAAGGTTCCTGAGACCTGAAATACTCAGCTTACTCCCAGAGAAGAAACACCAGACAGGACTGGTGTGCTGAAAAACAGGATGGCTGCTGCTCTGTGCTGTCTGATTCCAAATTCAATCTGGGGCTACTTAAGACAGATCCCCTGCCCATGGTATCCACTCTTCCCCAATCCACAGCTCTCCCCCACCAGCTTTGCCTATGGCAGAACTTTCTGGCTTTATTTTGGCTCAATGGCTTTTCTTAATGTCTCCTGGTGGTTGAATTTGACCTTTTGGTGTGCCTTCCCATTTGTCCAGTATATGAATTTCCAGACCTTCCACCCTGTAGGAGGCATCATGCTGAGATCTAGATCTGAGTTCCAGGTTTGCCTTTTCAGGCTCTGTTCTTTCTTGATTCTGGCCAAGCCACCAAACATCTTTGAACCAGTTTCCTCTACTGTAAAATCAGGATCATAATACCTACCTGTCAATAGGGTTCAGACAAGGGAATGAATACGAAGATGCTTTGTAAACCCTGAAGCAGCACTTCCCAAACTGCTCTGCAGAACTCTGCTCTCAGGAGAGATGTTAGAAAACTACTGGGGGAGCTGAAAAGAGTTGATCTCAAGTTTGAGGAAGGCTAGCCGAAACAAAGTGGGCCCAGTTTCTATGCTCTACAACTTCTCAGTGACTTTAATTTGCCATGTGCATGACAAGACAGAGAAGAGATACAGCTTTGACTCAAAGCCACTTTATTCATGGGCTACTTATTGATATCTCCTAGGTTACTGGTTCTCACAGAGCATAGAGTATATTAATATTATTTCTCCTACAAATAGTATTGCTGATCTTAGCAGGGCATGGTGATACACACCTGTAATCCTAGCACTCTGGGAAGCTGAGGCAGGAGGATCACAAGTTCAAGCCCAACCGAGGGAACTTAGCAAGACCCCATCTCAAAATAAAAAAGGCTGAGAGCATAGCTGATTGTAAAAGCCCTGGGTTCACTGTCCAGTCCTGGGGGAAATATTACATTGCTAACCTTTCCATAGGATATACTCCCTCATCCAAGTTATTCATCCCGGGTAGTACCAGTTCATCAGTGTCTTTAAAAAAAAAAGAACTGCTGGACACCTCCGGTCTTCCCAACGTTGTGCTGTGTACTTTACTGGGAGTGAGAGAGAGAAATAACGAGTGGCTAGTATTGAAGGCCTCACAGTGGGGCTCTAGTTTTACCTCCCACAATCCTGGGACTCTGCCCCAGGCATCTTGGCAAACCTGCTGTCCTATGTATACAATTTTAGTGTTCCTGCCTTTGTCCTTCCTGTCTCCCTGACAAGATGCCTTTCTCCCATCTCTACCAATACAATTGTACCCCATCCTTCAGGCCTTGTTCCAAGCCCTGACTTTCCTATGGAAGTTTTCCCAACCAATGCGGTATGTTCTAGACAGGCATATTGGCTCCCCAATGCAGCTGTAAACTCCTAAAGGCAGAGAGCATTATTTACACTTCCTGATTTTCTCCAAAACCCAAGATTTGTTTGTGGGCTGATTGATTGCTACTCTCTTTCTCCCTGCCACCCACCCCCCACCCCCACCCCCACAAACTGTAAGCCATACAGTCCTCCTCTGGGAACTTGAACTTCTAACCACTTCTTCCAGTCCTTCCGAATTGGGGGGTAACAGGTTTGCTCACTTCACTCAGGAGACACTAAGTGAAGCTCAATAAGTTTATTCCTTTTGTTCATTATGGAACCCAACATGACCTAGATGAGGTGTGTGCCTTTCAGGAGCTTGTGGGCTAGAAAAAGACATAAACGTATGGCAAGTCAGCATGCCGAGTGCAACGACAGTAATAGAAATGTGGGAATATAAACTCAGGTCCTGGTGAGCACAAGTAGGGGTCAAGGCAGGCTTCCCAGAAGATGATCCTGCCCCTGCCAATCCTCTGAGCAGACATGGCAGGGTTATGGGGTCTGGAGCACTGGAGACTGTGGGAGGTGGATTCTTGGGTCACAGGGAGGAAGGGCTTGATGCCCGAGGCTTATGGCAGATGCTATGAGTGGATGTGAGATGGGAGCTGTGCATCCTTCTCTCCCCAGACACACATGCACACACGCACATGCACATGCACATGCACACAGCCTGTGGGAATCCCACTTCCCTGCTTTTCCATCATCCCCACACACCCCTTCTTCCTTCTCACCTCAGCTCATTCCTTCTCTCCTCCTCCGCTGTCACCTCCTGGTCCTGGGGCCATCCATCGTTGCCTCATTGGGACAGCCCTGTGTCTGCTCCCAGTAGCTGGAGGCTCACTTTGGCGAGGGGCTGGTCCCCTGGATGCCCATTCCCCATGGGGGTCTCTCGGAAGGGAGGTCAGCCTTGACTCAGGGCTTTCTCTTGTCTTCCTACAGAAAACCAAAAGAGATGTCAATAACTTTGACCAAGACTTTACCCGGGAAGAGCCCGTACTCACGCTTGTGGATGAAGCGATTGTGAAGCAGATCAACCAGGAGGAATTCAAAGGCTTCTCCTACTTTGGTGAAGACCTGATGCCCTGAGAAGCCACTTGGGGTTGGCTTTCCCCACTGCTGCAGGGAGGGTGCTGAGAAGACCCCATGTTCCAGAGGCTCAGAAGGTCCAGAACTACTCCTCTTCCCAGAGCCCCATCCCATGCCATTCTCTATTTATTGCATTCCCTTCCCCCACACCACCTCTTCTCCCACCTCCTGGTGACCAGAAGGCACTCTTGGGTCTTGCCTCACTGGGAATACAGACTGGAGTTGGGTCAGCAGTTGGGTGTCTACACTGCCAGGGTTGAACTGTGTGTGGCAAGCCTCGTTCCACTCCATGGGGGCTCCTTGCTGTGAAGCAACTGCACTTCTTTCACTACAAAGCAAAAAGGAAAACATCAAACAAGAAGACTCTGGCTTTCCCATTGGATGTAGAATCCTGACACCTCTGCTTCTCGTTTCTTCTGTCCCCTTGGCCTGCCATCCCTGCCCTTCTGCCCAGGAGAAGAAGAGACTGCCACCTCCTCCACATGAGGGCAGGTGCCCTTGATGGAGGGGACCCAGGAGACACATGGGTTGGCAAGCTGCGTCGGTTTGCTCTGGAATAGCTCATTCTGGCTTGCTTTGGTGTCCGCTTTTGAGCATGCCAAAGTCTTACAAGTTTGTATCTCATGGAAGAAATCATTTTTGTGGAAAAAATAATTTTGATTTTTGAACTTCATTAACATTTGAAAATGTATTATCAAAATTAGCTAATTGGCCAAAAGATAGAAATTCCAGTATGAATACAGGTGGATATTAAAGGGCTAATATACAATGAGAATCCAGTCGTCCAAGATGAATTCTATCAATGCTTTAGTGACACATGAGAGCTGGTTGAATTGAAAGAAAAGGAAACAAGTAGCGCTCCTCATTATTACAGTTCTACCTGAATACAAAGGCCACCATAGCAATGGCCAGGACCCTAGGGTTCTAGCAAAACTGAGTTCCCAGTGTTGTCCTGAGTTCCTAGCATAAATGCTATTTATTTTCTTCAGCAATGTGTTATTTTGCGCTCTTCTACAAAATGGTAGTACTACTGTGTTGTGATTTTTAAACATTAAACATTTAAAGTTAATTATGAAGTGTCCACTTTGAAACAAGTGGAATGAGACTTACCGTGCATTGGGTAGAGGGTGTCAGGAGCCCAAATGGAACAGGTTTGCCAACTGACAGTGTGGCCAGATGTACTTGGAGTTTTATTTCCATGTGACATGCAGTGGCAACTCATGTGGACACTACTTATGGACGAGATGTTACCTCTTGTAGATACACTAACAGTGTTACATTCTTTGATTTCCAAGGTTTCTCTGTGGCTTTGTGTGTATGTTTCCTGGAGGTCATTTGATTACCTATTTTACTGAACTGATTTAGCAGGGAATGGAATCCATTCCAGCTGTTGCACGTGGATTTCCCAGCTATCCCTAAATATATATACTTGTGAGTGGCAAAGTGGCACTAATGAAGCTTTTTGCCTTTTGTACATTTGAGATTTTTGTATATAGTGTTTGCTGCAAGGCCTGTGGAATTAATTCATTGAATATAGAGGTATCAACTGCTGCATGTTCAGGCATATTATAGAACTTTAGTCTATGAAAGAATAATTATAATAATGTCCAAGTGCAATACTCTATAAGTGTATTGGTTCAAGTTACCGAGAGATAGGTGTATTCTTTTTTTGGGGGGAGGGCTTATATTGTTTATTTCATTTTGTTGTATTTTAAAAGATGTACACATATATGTGTATTAAGCTATATTAAATTTCATGTATAGTTCCCCTGTGCTCTTTTATTCCCTGATTGAGATGGGGGACAGAAAGGATTTTTTTTTTGGTACTGGGGATCATCCTCGGGACCTTGCACTGGCGAGGCAGGTGCCGGAACCACTGAGCTAAATCCCCAGCCCCAGAAAGGAATGTTTTCAATTGTGGTTTTAAAGCTTGATCAGTGACTATTTCGAGCCCATAGAGTGCATCCCTATTTGCATCTGGCTGATCACAGCCTTTGTTACTAACGATGACATTCAGTTCTCTTTTGTTTTTATTTTTTTAAAACTCAGGTGTAATTATTATGTTCTTATGATGATTGCAAATATTAAATATTATGCTATATCAATCCATGTGTTTGGCATACCAGTGAAGTGATGAAGAATATTGGATTAATTTAATTTATCTTCGGTAACTTGACATACCAGGGGCAGACTATCTTCTGAAGTGGAGTACAAGCACAGAAACATCTTCACGGTGGCATCATCTCATTTTTTAGGGAGACACGACCATACGCCCAGCATACTCATGCATATTCTCAATCAACCCTCAATCAACACCTCCCATCTGTCTCTCCTGCTTCCTTCACCACTATGAACTTTGGACAACCAAGCCATCTTCAACTGCAATGCCAAATGGCCTTGTCTGAGGGCTTGGTGGTATTTGCATGGCTGTAGGGGTTAGGCTCTTTCTGCAGGACAACAGGCATCTTTGCTGGGAAGTCAAATAATACATTCCACCTGGGAGCTTAGGCCCCCTTAGCACGCAGAGCCTGTGGCCAGGGATGCTCCACTGACTCTCACACAGGCAGATTGCAATCCAGCCTAGACCTGTGGGAAAAGGCTCCTGTGTTCTTGAGTACTTATCTTTTCATTTACTAGGATTTGGAAGCAGACAAAACTGTTGCATTTCTGCCAGTTCTTTATAATCTTTCCAGCTCTCTCTCAATCTCTCTCTTTCAAAAAAAAAAAAAACAGTGGAAAAAATGCCAAAAAAAATATGAAGGATAGCTATTCTCCTGTGTTCTCTCATTATAGACTTTGAAGTAGAAACATAATTTTTTCCTCCAAAGGTGAAAAACTAACACATTCTTGCTTTATAAAAACAAAAGAAGGCTAAAATGTTACCTCTTTTTAAATTATGTGCAAAATAATTCTGGCTAAATATACAACATATTCAATTTTAAGGGTTTTATTTTGTGTTGTGATGCTTTATTTGTACATTTTTTTCCTTTCTGGGTGTAATTTTAATCTCTTGCCATTCATTAGTGTTATTTCATTGTAAACATTGTTGTGCCAAATGTACTGTATTCAAAAGGATGTGAATGTGTATTGTTTCAGAACCTAATAAATACAATGATGTTGAATCTTACTTCTCGGTGGCAAAGGGGTACCACTCAAGCTTTTTGTCTTTTGTAAATCAGAAATTCCCTAATCCAAAACCTAAACAGGTTTCAGCTTTTTCCTTCTTTGCATGTGTACAGGGGCTGCAAGTTTGTGCTTTCCCCTGACCTCCCTGCTTGTCTCTGTGTTTCTGGGGCCCCGCGAAGAGGCTTGAGGGGCCTGTGCAGATGGGGTGCAGCCCTGGCTGTGGTAGCATGGAAGGATAGCATCCTATCTCCCTCAGAGCACTGGGAGATGGCAGGGAAGCAAGCAGCCCTTGTGTTTTTGGCTCTGCAAAAAAGAAAATGCACCTCCTTGTAACCAAAGTCCACAAAGGCCTCCCCGGGACTCAGTGTCTGGCTTGTTGCTCAGAATGCTGAGGTTCAGGACACTCCTTGTAGGCTGAGATCTCCTTGAGTTCTGAGCTGACAGTCAGGCTCTTGGTTAGCTTGCACTTCCCTTCGCTCTCAGCCCACGTCTGTGGCCATACTGGTGACTCCTGGACCCTGCGGATCCCTTTGTCACTCTGGGCTCCTTTTCTATTCCACTCAGGCGGCCCTGGTGCTACAAGGCTCCTCATTCTCCTCTTTCTACCATACTGGCTTCTCAAGGACTTTTTTTTTCTTCTTTTTGGCAGTGCTGGGGATTGAATGCTAGGTAAATGCTGTACCACCGAGCTACACTCCCAGCCTTCAGAAATATTTGACATTCAATAAAGTCCACTTTTGAGTACATCAGAAATTCCAACTAGCCAAAATTGTGTTCATATGACTTGCATTTTTCCCCACATTTTTTATTAGTGCATATTGGCTATATTGATTAAGGAGCTTCATTTTGGCAGATCTGCACACGTACAGTACATACTTTAATTATTTTCCCACTCCCTCCTACCCTCACATGTTAGGGGAAGGCTTCAATATGTGTAATGTATTCTGAGGTGGTTTGCTATTTGGCATCCTAAGGGGAGGGGCTAGCCTAACATCCTTTCTCACAGAAGTGATTTCACTTTTTTTCCCTCTTGGGCCATGCTAGGCATGCACTCTGCCACTGAGCTATACCCTTACTCTACCCCCAGTCACTTCCATAAAGCCCTCCAAGGACTGTGGTGTGTCATTCTGCAAGCCCTGCTTCTGTTTTCATCTTGGCCACATTGCCTGCTGCCTGGAGATACAGGCAGGGATCTCCAGACCTACCCCAAGAAGGGCATGTTTATCGCGTATTTTCCTCTCTGATTTACCAACTCTCTCTTAGTGACCCAAGATGAAGCAAACTTCCCACCAGCTTGTCTTGTCTTACCATGAATGTAAGCAATTAGGAGAAGCGTGGAACCTCTAGAAGCAGAGAGCAGTATGGTGGGAGCAGGGCCTGGGAGACAATGGGAGATATGGCCAAGGAGAACATCCCTGTTGGGAAGAATAAATTCTAGAGATTGAATAACACGGGGATTTGGTTAATAATGTGTACTTGAAAAGTGCTAAGACAGAAAAAATGTTAGCACAAGCAAATGAGAATGTGAGAGGATGGATATATTATCTGGCTTGATTTAATCATTTTACAGTGTATATCAAAACATCACACTATGCGCCATAAATACGTGCAGTTTTTATTTGCCAATTATACTTTACAGCGGAAAAACTTAGGAAAAATGGAAGGAGCAGTTCCAGGCACTGGGAGTGCAGCTTAGTGGTAGAGTATTTGCCTAGCATGTGCAAGACCCTGAGTTCAATCCCCAGCACACAAAAAAAAGACTAGGAAAGTCTAACTTTTATTTGAAATCCTTTAGCCCGACGGTGATGTCACATAAGAAGCATGTTAGTATTCAGCTGTACCTGAAGGATGATCAGATGGGCCCATCTGCTCTAGAGACGGACAGCTGATCACAGACAGCACTGATTCAGAAAGCAGCTGCCCATGGGGCAAGTGCGATTGGCCTCGAACAATAACTGGAGGATTTGCTGTCAGTACTAAGGGCTAAAAAAATGAGTCTCTGGGGAAAAAAGATGGCTTGTTAATGAGGATAAAGGGTGTTAGGAAGGTGGGGCTAGTGGTGTTTGAGGTAAGTATATCGGCAAAAACATTTGAAGACAACTCTCATAAAGGAAACGAGATCAGAAATGCACATGTAAATCAAACTGCAATATCACTTCACATCCACCGGATGACTAAGTCAAAAGGGGAGACATAGGATATGGAACAGTGGGAACTTAAGAGTTTCTGCTTTGAGTCTGAAGTGCTACAAATACTTTGCAAAACTTGGGCAATATCTGCCACAGCCAAATATGTACACCCTTGACTCAACAGAAAGGGATATCAACCATAGGATAGGGCAGTGGTGGTGAACCTACAGCACATGTGCCACATCGGGCTGTCCATGTCATTGAAAGCTCTAAAAGGTTTGCCATCATTGGGATAAGAGAATGAACTGTGGAATATCCACACAATGAAACACTATATAGCCACAAGAAGGAATGATTCACAACTATATGCAGTGGCACAGAGGGATCTCATAAAATAAGGCCAGGGAGAAAAGCCAGCCTGGGAGCAGCACATGCTGTAGGATTCCCTTTAGTAAAGTACAAAGACAATCATTGCTACTAGAAACCAGGACAGTGGTTACTCCCACAAGGAGAGGCGGTGGTGACTAGGAGGAGACACAGAAGAGCTCCACAGAGCTAGTTCTGTTGTTTTTCCTGAGCTGGGAGCTAGCAAACAGGTGGTTTCACTTTATCACAATTCACTGACTTTTTTCTTACAATTTGTACTTTTCTGTATGTGTGTTGTTATTCTTCAATAAAAAAACTGTGTGCCCACCCCATCTAGCCTGACCTTGTGCTATGGCCTGAATGTAGTTTGTTCCCTCTGAAACTCTCAGTGAAATGAGTTTGCCCCGGTGGCAGTATTCAGAGGTGATCAGGTTGTCATGAAGGATGACTGCCTCTCAAGCAGTAGTGAATTAATGCAAGTGTGGGTGGTTGTAGAGAAGCCCAGCCCTCCCACTTTCTGTTTTGCATGAGCTTACTTACCCTTCCGCCTTTTGCCAAGCTATGATGCACTTGCCAATGTCGCTGCTGTGCCCTGGACTCCCACCCTCCAGAAGGTGAGCAAAGTAAACCCCTTTCCATTATGAGTTGGTCTTGGGTATTCTGTAACAGCAATAGAAAACGGACCAAGATGCCTTTCCGCTTAGGGATGACACCTAGGCTGCACCTGTGCCTGTCTGTGTGCCTGTGCTGGCCCAAGGTATCTTGGCTGCCTAATTTCCATCTGTAGCCTACTTCGGTGGCTGGAACAGGGTTCTGTGTGCTTTGGTGGGCCCTTACTCTGAGGCAGTGTCACAAAAAGCTGGGACTTCACAGAGCCTTCAGAATGGCCCCAAGGCTCCTCTGTGCTGCAATGGCTGTCTGAGAAGTGGTTAGGGAATATGTAAGCCTCTCCTTCTTAACATGATCCAGATCCACCAAAACCAAATGTCTGGGGCTTTGCAGCGCACACTAGGGAGTCCACAGGCAGTGAGGCTTGACTCCATCTCTTTCACCTGGTGCAAATTACAGTACCTGTCTAAACCAGTTTCAGTTTCCGTTGTGTGTAATGAGGATAATAAGACCTACTACCTCAAAGCCTGTCATGAGATGTCAGTGAGATAAAAAGGTCCCAGGCACAGTGACAGGTAGTATCGATATGATTCCCCGCCACAGGGTGCAGCGCCCCTCACTCCATCCACCCCACTCTCCTTCAGCGGGAGCCCTGCACTGTAGGAACATGTGTCTCGGCGTGACATGGGCAGCTAGCTTATCTCTTCTCTCTCTGACCCGTTTCCTCCCATCCCTTGCCTGTCCTGCCTTTCAACACTCCCAGGGGCACCAGACACCCACCACCCCCACTCCTCCAGTGAAGGACCCTCACTGGGGCAGGAAGGGGGCACAAGCATCAAAGATACATTTGCCCTTAGCAAATTTGCAACCAGCAGGGGACAAGTCAAATCTCAGGCAGTAAGGCAAACGAGACGAAGGGGCAGAGGAGGGCTTGGGTGTGCCTCCTCAAGGCAGACTTCCTGGAGGAAGCAGTGGTGAAAGGGCACTGCAGGCCGAGGAGGGCAGGGACAGGCACAGGGCAGACGGCCCCTTGGCTTTGCATGCCATAGGCTTGGGGCCTGAGCTCCAGGGCAGGACTGCAGCAGCCTCCACAGCCTTTCCCGGGGTGAGACAGTCAAGGGCCCAGGAATGGCTGAAAGTAGTTTGAGGACCTTTGTAGGTGGGGCAGTCGCTGAGAGAGTCCAGCCCACCTCTTCACTAAAGGCTCCTTGTCTTTGTGTGTGAGTTCATGTTCCATAGCCAACTGTCCCTCAGCTGATGAGATGAGGGAAGCGCTGCCTGAGGGATGAAGTCAGAACCAGGCCCATTCTGGGACCACCTTCCTGCTTTCCTCTCAGGCCTCTGCAGGGAGGGGTGGGGGCAGCGCCTACCAGGACTGCTCTGAGAAGCTCGGAGAGGCTGGTTCCCTGGGCACCAGGGCAGAATCCCCCATCCATGCTTCCTCCTTTAGGCCATTAATAACCTAAGTTTATTGTCTTCCGTGTGCCAGACGCTTTACTTCTTCCCATCCGAGAACCTACTTAAACCTCACAAAAGTCACAAGAAATAGAAATTCCAATTCTCCCTATTTTATAGATGAGGAAACTGAGGCTCAGAAATTGTTTGGCACCCAAATTCCATAAGACTGTTGTATTTATAGGCCCATTCTATGGATAAGAAAAATTTAAAATTGCCCGAATTTTCAAAGCCACATCTGGCTGACCTCAGAGACCATACAAAAACTCTTTACACACACAACCATTCATTCACTCGCTCATTTACTCACTTATCCCACAAATTTTCATGGAGTTGCTACTATGTGCCAACCATTCACCTAGACAATAGTGAACCAAAGAAATAAAAGTCCTGCCTGTATATAATTTGCATGGAGTGAGGTGTGGACAGACAATATAAGCAT